CGCTTTGTTGGAATATTTGTTCGTCAATGTTCTTCAACTTCGTTTTTTCATGTGCTCTCCCAACTTGTGTTATTCGAGTGTTACTGACGAGTCTTCGGTAGCCAAACGTCTGTCGTTGTAAGTGAAACTCCTTAGTTAGTGGTCATCCTCTTTGTAACTGAAATACTACCTTGTTTCGTTTTACGACAAATATCAGTTGTTTATATGGCCATATCGGAGGTTAATAAAACTGGTTTAATTTCACCCCATCTTGTGTATGTGCCCAATCAGACAAAATGGGCAATTTGATTTTCGTTGATTGATAGTTTTCAGCACCTGAGTTCATCCCCAGTTTTTTATGGATTCGTGTTGTGCGTTAATTTTATTTGTAGTGTTTTGCAGACTGTTGATTGTTACTCGTAGCTCCTCGTCGTTTTCGTATAATGACATTTGGAATTGTTTTTCTTATCTAATATCCGCCATAGCGGAGCAGCATCAAAATAAAATTCGCAAAAAAGCTGCAGAATATCAAATTTTATACATTTAATCAGTAAATAGTAAACGAAAATATGATTAAGAAAGAATTGAAAAACAAATCACATCTTTTAGGTACCATACCATTTATAATTTATTTATAATTTCATGTTCAATAATGATATTCATAAAAAAAACTTCTCCAAATTTATGTTTGGGAAAATAACAGTATACATATTTTTGTTGAAAAGATGGCTTTTGTTAATGAACTTTTAGACAGCATATGTATTTCTTTATAAGTTTTTTTTAATTTTTATAACACACGGTAAAACGATATCTAAAAAATGATATGAATTATTGGTAATGATTTTCAACATTCTTTTATCTTATGGAACAAGGAGTTTGTTGGTACATTTTATAGATGTTAACCAGGGTCAAAAGCGAGATGCGGTTTTAATGTTTTAACGGGATAAATCAAACATGTTAAATGTATTTATCACTTTTCCCGGTTACAACATTGATGTGACATATGTTTAGATGAACAACTTAATAAAGGTATCAAAAAAACATTAATTTCCGTGGCTCCTTTTCTTTTAAAAAAAGGTATGATTATGTATATGTAATAATTAATATTACAAAAAGAAATTGTTTAATATGTTTTAAAGATTATTGGCTATAAACACGAACTATGTACAACCGTCTTAATATAGATTATTTAAATTTAAAACGACGATATGATCAATGAATGATACAACACATTTTAAGTATATAACATGCTGAAACATGTAACATTGTCTGATTCTGGATAGGTTTGTAAAAATAAATACAAAGTAATTGTTTACCTAACAACAAGAGATTTACTATTTACAGGCAGTAGATATAGTTAAATTAAATGTACGCGCGTATAAACAACAAATTCAGAAGAAATGAAAATAATACTTATTAAAAAACTGTTTGTGATTTATTTGTGAAAACAATACAAAAAGGTAAGAATTAATTAAGGGAAAAGTGATCCTTCGTTGATTCATTGGATAAAAGAAAACTATGGAACTTAAGTTGAATCTATGTTAACATTATTGATAATTCTAATTTCTAATTTCGGTGATCTTTTTTACCAACACAGTATTAACGTTGGTGTACTGCTTGATCACTGCATTCTGTTATATTTAGAAAATTCAAACATTGTGCTAAGAGTATTTTTTGTCTTTCTTATTCATTTTCCTATTTCTTTTTATCTTTTTTTCTAAAATTTGATAAATAGCTTTTCAACATCTCGGGGTCTTTTATAGCTAACTATGCGGTATGATCTTTGCTCATTGTTGAAGGCCGTACGGTAACCTATAGTTGTTAATTTCTGTGTGATTTGGTCTCTTGTGAAGAGTTGTTTCATTGGCAATCATACCACTTTTTCTTTTTTTATATTTTAATATATAAAAATTAATCAAAGCTCATATTCGTTCACTAGTTCATCGTCAATGAAGAGCTAAATATTGCTTGTAGAATTTTCATTGACGTCAGTATATTACCACAAACATCTTACACATGCGTAGATCCTTAATACGTCTTACTATGAATATTCAGATCCCAAATGAATGTGTGTGCCATAAGTTTAGTATTAAGTAGATTGACTACACATGCGTACACATTGTTAAAAAACACACAAAATGCTCAAACACATATTCAAAAGCAACAGACAATTTTCCTGATATATATAACAAGAACTCCAAACTTAGTCAGATTCACATGCATGCCAAGAAATGTTTCTGTACATTCAATATTTAACGTTTTCATCAGTAAGGAATTGTAGCACGATTTTTTCTAATACAAGCACTCTCTAAATTATTTTTCTGCAGAAATTCGCAGTCCTTCCAACAAACATCTTTTAGTTGATGGGTTCCGTAAGTCAAACAACAAAGTAACTTTATAACCGAAATGACTTTCACTTACCATTTATGATAACCCCCTTGCCGGCTTCTTACAACATTATTTTACAATATGGCTACCGAATTAAACGCGCCAAATTCACAATTCACGTGACCTTGTCATCCAAATGCGCATGTCATATATTGATTTATCTGACAGTAATGATGAAATCATTCCAATGTAGTTGCTGTATGGCAAGAGTATGTATCATGCGTTCAGAACACTCTTAACAATATTAAGTAAACAATATAAGGAAGTGATTTTTCAGTATTTCAATAGTTTAGTTGGGGGTTCGGTTTTTTTTTTTTTAAATTTAAAAATGGAACAATACAGATTTTCGAATTCGTCACTTATTTTCTAAATTGCCTAAAATCATAACTGTCTGTTATATTTAGTCGAATATGGTATTGAAAAACATTGCTTTAGTTTAATACTCATACACATGTACTGCCCTTTATGTAGATAAATTATAATCTCCTCCTTTAGGTGTCTCTCTATCATTCAATTTTCATCTCATGTCAACATATAACTCGCAAGACCCTAATTTAAACAAAATTTGGCGTAAATTAAGTGATAAGATTGAAGTTTCTCTTTAAATAATAATGTGTGTTTGTGAACAATATTTCGGAGATCTATGTAATAGTATTTTGAAACCACTCATACCTTTGATATTAAACCGTAAGAAATAGTGTACCTGTACGTTATGAGATAAGTTAAATATTTAAACTCAAGTAATATTTACTCTGACATTGACAGTTGACAAAGTAATTACAAGCTTTTTGTTTTAATTTACTACATGCTCCTCCTACATGTATGTCCACATAGGAAAGGTTCGATTTAATGATTTTAGTAAACAGATCTTTGTGATGGTAAATATTTTGTGTCAACAATATTAACATGATAAAAGCTGCTGTAGATATACAATGATAATACGTGTTTTGATGCAAACTAATTGATAGAAGTTTATAAATTTTACTATCGTTTTAGCTGTGTTAAGTATATAAATGATATTTATATGTCAGCATATCATATCAAATAATAATGGTTAATATTACTCATTTTTAAATATTCATAAGCCTTGCACCTCGTGCACTTAGATCATTAAGAGCCTTACAATAAAGAGAAAATGTTAAAAGGAGGAAGATATTATTGATTATTTTGTAAATATTCCACTTAATAAAGTTTTCTATTGAAACAGAAAATGAAAATGTGGTTATTTCCTGTTTCCTTATTTAAAAATACAGTGACCAATGAAAATATACCAACAGGAAACATTCTCTAATTTTCGTAATTGGTTTCGTTTCAAAGCTTTAATTAGTATATTGATATTTCCTTCAAATTCAACCGATTATTATAAGTTGGTTAGTGCCATACTTATTACATTCTGCATGTCTGGTACCAAGGAATAAAGATAAACAACTTGGAAGGAATGAGTATACCATTAAATTGTAGTAAGAAGTACATGTAGTAAGAACTTTTATATTATATCATTAATATTACATGTAATAATAAGAGATATATAGTTCGTGTAATTGAGTCAGACAACCAATTTTCATTTGTATGGCATGGTACTTGTTATAAGCGTTTTGTCTCGTGCAAACACAGAGAACAGCTAGTGGTGTCGAACGCTGCTATCTCGAAATAAATACTATGAATTATGAAATAAAAAGAATTATGTTTTTTGTTAAACGAAACTAAAAAATAGTATCCTAAAACCAATCTTTTTACGTTCTTGTGACAATAACAAAGGCTACCATCATAGATAAATAAAGATCATCATACGAATTTCGATGATTAACAAATGATCACATATTTTACAGAGACTATTTCGCAAACACAAAATTATCAGCAGATAAAAAAAGGGAAAAAGACGCCACGTAGACAAAAATTGCATTTGTTCATCTTAAAGATTATCTTTTATTTGTGATGGTTAATTGTTCAAATAAAACCATGAGTATGGCGTAATTGTATAAGTTGAATGTAACTTTGAGTCCGAGAATATTAACCAACAGCTATGATTTTTATCGCATGTATTTGTATTGGACGAGGAGTTTATTGGTACATTTTAAGTTATTGCATAGCTTTCTACGGTTTTGAAATTATTTTTGTTCTCTGTCTTCATCGATGTTTATCTTTGATAACTTTTATATATATTGTTAAATACTGATTTAAATTGAAAAGCATAACGAATATTCATTTGCTTTGGAAATGCGCATATATAAAATAAATATGTCAATTTGAAATCAAATCACAATATTTAAATATACTTGACTATAGACATTATAAATTTATAAAAATAACACAATCACGCAATTACTTAATATGTAATCAGCTTTAAACATATGTTTTCTGGCTTTTATTGAAAGAGAAATGACTCGATACCATTTTTATTGTAGTCAACAAATTTGTTGATTTTGAGTTTTATATAAAAAGAATCTTTATGTCATAGATATTGTATGCTTTCATACCTTTCTACACCTATAGGGGTTTGGTAAGTTTAAAGGTTTTAAGTTTGTACATCATAATGTGTTTGAGAGTTGTGATTTATAGAAAGTGTTATTCTTCAAATAAAACATTTAAGGAAACATGCATGGTATTCAACAGCAAACAAAACATGCATGGTATTCAACTGCAAACAAATCATTTTATTAATAAGATCACAAATATTGCAATGTATCAAGCGTTGGAAGGATGAGTTAAAAGTAATTCAGTGACCCTTCTACATATTCAGCGTTAGTATTAGACGTTAGCTTCGATTTTTCTTTATCTTCATCATAGTTCAATAACTGTCCTCTCGATCATCCAATTACGCCAAATTTACAATTAATGAATAATTTTCCTCCCGAATAGAAATTCCAGAGGAATTTCTAAATATCCCTTTATGAGCAAAATGTCCGTTATAGGTTTGGTGCGTCCTTTGGGAATATCACAGATCGGACGTGTATTGCCTATCCTCCATATCTTCACTACCCTTGCCTATAATAGAACAAAAATGAGACAGATGGATTCAAAGTTTAGGTTTCAAATACTGAATCAATATATATTAGCAGATGATATACTTGCATTTCATATTAAAAATACTTGTGTCAATGTTTTCTTCAAATCTTGAAAAAAGAATAAGATAGCATGATTAAGAATTGTTTTGTTTTTCTCATAATAAATCCTACGCCTTTTTTTGCTGATTGTTTTTATAATGGGACCACACATTCGAGGAGAGTTTTACATTGCCTTCGATTGTCCAATTTCAAACATGGATAGATCTGTTCTGTTCCCATATGACCAAATCCTGTTACTTTTTGTTATTTTGGGGGGAGTAAAAGATTTCAACAATTTCTCACAATTATAAATATACCGTTATCGGTTTTCTTTTTTTTAAGGGAGTAAATTGAAACCCAAAACATTTTGTACGGAAGAATTATATTAGATAATGAAAAATAAACCGGAAAAATCAACAATGTTTTAAAACGGAACAAACTAAAGGATCAATTTAGAAATACGTCACATATTATATTATAACATTTATTTCAAGTGTGTAGCATGCCGAAACATGTATCTTTCCTTATACCTGGTAGGGTGGTATAGATATATAACATATATATTTATATCAAATATTTACCTGTCAACTAGAATCGGGCGCACTTACATATAGTTTTGTTAAATAATAAATATTAGTGCTTATGGACAATTTTTCAACGTATTTACAAAAACAAAATATTAAAATCTTATGATTTACTAGTTAGGAAATTCAAACAATTGTGTTGTTTTTACAGTAAAAGTACTCAATTGTATGGTGATCATCGATAAATAAATCAGAGACAAAAAGTGAAAAAAAATGTCTTTAAAAGTGTTCAAACGGTATCAAGGGATCAGTGATTGTAATTGATTCATGGGAAATAATTATTTTGAAGTACATGTAGTATCCAGATTTCGGTAAGCACTTTTGAAACTCATTTATAAACTTACAAGCAATGCCTAATATTTATTAAGATTAAGTGTTCGATCATTTTCTTTATTTTCCTTGGAAAATGTTTACAATATTTTCATTATTTTTTCCAGATTTTCTTCGTTTTCTTCGTTTTCTAAAAATCTGACGTGCTTATTATTCCTTGAAATGATCAAGAAAATTTCCATGACATCATTTGTCATAAATTAACTGCACATGCGCAGAAACTGTGTATAGAATATACTCCATTGAATGTTTGTATTATATTTGTAATGTCCAGAACTTAGGTTGAACATGCGCATGTGCAGTGCACATTTTTTTGCATTGTACACATGCCGAACACAAATTTAGTTAAACGGACGAAATGACTAATTTTGCCAATTTAAAAACAATAGAACTAAAACAATGTTATCAAGATACCTTAACATGCCCATCATGAAAAATATGCAGAAATGACTTTTGTTTGTCACTATTCACCGAATTCTACAGTGTAATTCTCATAATTTTTAACACAAGAGATATAACAAGTACTTCCTTCGAAAATATCTTGCCCAATGGGCATTCATTTGCAATATTTCATGACTTAAATCTGATGTCTTTCTCAAGTCAAAGAGCTACTTCATCTTAAACACGAAATGCCTTATAATATAACTTAAGAAATAAAATTAACTATGTTAACATATTTTTCAAACTGTGCTTATGCATTCAATCTTTTGTGATTATGAAGTATGCATTTACGTACCATATCTGAGACTCTTATATCGGTTTTCCTATAAGCAATATGGCTACCACCGAAAGATCGCGCCAGAATATCAACGTGCTTCCTTAAAAACCAATCAAAAAGTTTGTTTCATTTTGGTTTATTTAGTGTCTGACTAAATTATGGAGTCAATCCCGGATGACTTTGATAAACACTGATTTAAAAATCCCTATTTGTTCGATATTCTCCAATTTTCAAATGAATTTGTATACTTCAATTTCTTAAATGTAAGTCTTGAAGTTTTTCTACATATCATGGAAATTGTATCATGGGTTTAAAGCAATCTTCGATATATGATCCGGAAGTGAGAGGAAACTGCTTATTTCACATTTGAAGGTACTAAGAACTTGATATCTATATATACAGTACAACCCGTGACATACTCTGATAAATATGCAGTTCACCATTTTGTATGGTCACCTTCATATGGTAGTCATTTATTTGGACATTAGGAATTTTTTTTGTTTGAAACTGATTATATGTATCCCTAACGATGTAGATAATTCTATTTTGTGCAAATGATAAAAATTTTATCATTTTGCATTTGTTTATGTGATACAAATTGTTAAGCAGTCACATCTCTTTAGTCTTAAGTTAAAATAAATGAAAGTCATTGCATCTCGAGCCAATACATTATGGTGTCTTGTACTAAAACAAAACAAACCTTTTATGGCATAGAAGAAAGTTCTGGTGCTTGCAACTTCGGAAGTACCAGTCAGGTACTTCAGATCTGAGAAACATGCAAAATGCACCTTCCTTTTTAAATTTCATACAATTTCGTTATTACTCAACATTTGCTCCAAAATTGTTCGACAATGATCACCAGTCAATCAGTTTTCACTTTGTACTAAATAACAAAACCATTCTGCATATTTTGAAAGTTATACCATAGTGTAGAAACAGTTTTGTTTTAAATACTAGTATGTTCTACTTTCAGACTGGGTCCGAATTAGTGGTGTAACACCAACAACATTCCTGTTCAATGATAGTAAAAGTTATGAAAATGAGAGACATTCACACTTTGTATAAAAACATTCTTATTTTTTGTTTGTCTAAAAACGACCTAGACGTTTTCGAAACCGTATCGGTATATTTTGTTTATGTTTAAATGATTTTCATTTTATTTTCTCAGATTGCTCCAAAAAGAAAGCTGATCGACAAACTAGCAGAGCTGCTCGAGCTTACACAGTAAAACAATGCAATCTCACTGACATGAGTTTTTTGATAGAGTTGATAATTTTTATGTCCTCTACAACTGACTCATTTCATTGTTTTGCAACATTTCATCTGCTAAGAAATGGAACTGGCACAAAGACATTTTATAGGTAAGATGAAATTATAAATTATCAAAATGGGTATTCTAACACAACAAAGGAAACAAAAAACCCTCTCAAAACAAAATATATTGAAGAGAGTTTGATGTACATGATACAAACATATCAATGGATAAATGTGAAACACTACATATGTCAACAAAATATTGGAAGTTTTTTTTCTTTTAATACACGGATATCTAAAGGTATACCATGTCATGCCATTTTTTAAATTCCAAACAAAGTTTCAACCACGGTTAAAAATGCAATTAAATGAGTAGTTCTTAAAGACAATTGACACTTGATACATTCGGTGCACATTGTATGAGTGTCTAGATTTACATACATCAGTACAGTTCGAAACAAATCATTGAAAGCCAAAGATAGATAAATACAAAAAAACTATATGAGCCTAAACCATCTAAGATCAACTCTGCCTCAGAAATGTGAAATATTAGTTTTTTAATAATTTATTAATTCACCATCATTGTTGATGAACTGCTACTAGGCTAATGGCACACTCGGGGACTAGCAATTCACCAGTATGGGTATCCACCCGGTGATATTGTCTATATATATTACACTAGTATAACACACACAATAACAACTTAGAAGTGTATTTCCTGAACTGACTGTTTACTTGTCGTTGATCAATGCTCCTTCGTTATGTAAGTAATTGTATATACCAGTAAAACCAGTTGCTGAATGACTGGTTCTCCTTTAAAGTTGGCGACGAGTCCTGTTGACTGCACTTTACGCCATATACATTGAGTATAGTGAAAAAGAATATCCTTCGATAGCGATTCCTAGAAAGGATGCTCTGGCAGAATTCCGAACAGCAGCTTCGTAATCAATGAACAAAATCTGTTGGGTTCCGGTGACCCTGGCGTTGGGTGCAAGCAGTCTCCAGTAGTATATAGAATTTCAGAAACGTTATACTATTTAATCAAAAATGCATTAATCTGATGATTAAAAAAAATCATATGTTATACAGTTATAAAATTGACATCAAATAATTGTTTGAACAACTACCTTGTTTATTTAAGAACATTTTACATCGTAAAATAATATGGGACAATCCGAACTGTTTATGCGGGGCAATCAGAACTTTAGAAATTTAAAAAAATGGGACAATCGGGGATAAACTATATCATTGACATGTTGTGTTCATAGAATATTTTTGATAGTTCTATTAACAGTTTTACAATTTTCTAAAACCTGAGTCTGACGCAATGTTAAATATCTTTTCAATTGTTGAAGGCTGTTATAAATGATCTCTCGGTGTGCTCTTTGTTTTGGTTTTGTTCAAGACTGCATGTCGATCAGAGTGGTTTTTGTTTCATACCAATAAGGGAAATTTCTCAAGGAACATGCACCGTAAACATATGCAATTAACAATAAACATACGTTACGTTATTTTCATTAACATTTGGTGCCGTGACATAAACAAGTAATTTTTTTAGTTACTTCTATAGTAATTTTTGTTTTTAAAAATTATTAGATTACTCAATAGAGTTATTTTAAATTTCAATAGAAGCATGGACTAACATTTTACGAAATTCTACATCATTTTATTACATAGAATTAAGAATTTATTAAATTTGAAAGGAGTATAGAGATACATGGTTATTTTAAAAAAAATATTACTTGTATAAGTTATCTTATACTAGTACATCTTTGAAAGAATTAGTAATTACAATTATCTAAGGAATATTTGTAATTGTTTTGGGTTACAAATTATAAATAACTTCAAGTCTTAATCAAATCACAAGTTTCTATCTATTTATATCTGTCTACCTCAAGATGTTAAATGACAATGATATTTTAATAGCCCCAAGAGGCAAATCTTTCTGTTAATTAAGTCTTAGGGATCGAGGTTCAGCGCGGTAGAAATTTAAAAGTTGTACTCTCTTTCATAAATTTTGCTGAAAAAAATTCCCAAGTCTTGAAAAATGAAAAAAATATTTTCAATAAGGTCTATATATGTGTTAATTGTTAAAACCTAGCAGTCACCAACAATAAAGTATCTAGACCAGATATTGTTTCTAAATGGGTTGTATTTTCAAGCTGGTATTATCAGTGGACCAGTTCACCTACTCCATAATTGTCAATGCAGTAGATTTATTACAATTTAAATCTGTAGGAAATTTTCCATGTTCATCCATCTTTTTGAATAAAAGAAAGCTGCCCAAGCTGACCTTGACAAAAGTGTTTTAAGAATGGAAAACCAAAGGTTAAGGCCCAAAAACCTTATATAATGTTCCGCTTTGGACTTAGACCAAACATGTGTTGTTTTCATAAATCCAAACCAGCAAACGTACGATCTGCTGCAGATCATGCACTAGCTGCAGCTGATTTAAAAACCCCTAAGACTAAAAAATGGTTAAATTATTTTAAATGGGCAATGGATAGATATTCAAAATATATGCAATCATAATAATTGGTATAGAAAGCAGAAACACAATTCGGAATTGCATAACTTTTATAAATTACTTTAACACAGGGATTAAAAAAAGACAATAGATTTCCATACATAGTTTCTTTATATTCACTATTTCGTTTATATTACAGAGTATTATTAATATAATATAGGCAACTAAGTATTTTAGAACCCATATGGTGATAGAACAGATTCATTTTAATAAGAAGACACATACGATATTTCAGAATAATAAATGACTGCAAAACCGAACCGAAAAATATAATGTTTTACGTTATTTGATTATTTGTGCTAATTTGGATTACAATGTTTTGAACAATTTATCAACCTTTTTTTTCAATAAGCAATAATAAAAAAGATAAAAGTATGATATCGAACATTAAAGTTACAAAAAGGTTAGTAATCTATCATATCACATTTTCATATTTCAATGATATCATTGTGATTTTTGAACAATTGAGGGTGAATCATGTTCCATCACCCATTATAACTGCAAGATATATCATGTACTTCTGTAAAGTGAGTGAGTAAGTAAGTAAGTAAGTAAATAGTTTATCACAGCTTGACAATCTAATATAATTTATCATACACAATATAAGAATCTTTAAAACACTATCAGATCCCAGCCTTTTAGACATATGAGACACGTTCATCCTTTTCAAAATAAAAATATGTGCTATAATGAAATATCAAAAATTAATATTTAAATAATAAAAGTAGTTTTCATATAATACGAAAATTTTCATTTACATTCAGAAAAGTTTAAAAATTTACAAATTTATTTTCCAACGTTTAAACATATGTTACAATGCATTTGCTAATTAAACTTAAGTATCATCACAGTTCATAATAAAGTCAAACTTTTCATCAGAATTAAAACTGTAACGTCCGGTCTCAACCGCCAGAGGCAGTGATCCACATGGAAAATTTCGATAAAATGCAACGATGGTCACGAAATTTGACTGGTTTATCGAATATACTAGATTTAGAATTGTTTTTAAATTTTCTGAATTTTCTGAGCTTGTTTCCATATTTATAATTTCTATCGCAAAAAATATCAGTAACCCATTACTAGCGATCTATAGGTGTCAATTTTTTTTTGGCAATATGTAGCTCTTGTTTGGTTGTTAAGTTGAATTCACATTTTCTCAGTAATGCTAATACACATGATCGATGTTTCATCTTACTAGTTTTATGTATAGTCCGGACTATTCTATCATCCTCTAAAATAGAAAGTTTGAAGAAAAATCTTAGAACTTCAATGTACTGTTTTGTGTTTACTGTTGTCCATCCCATATGACAACGGGAAAAGAAATGGTTTTTCCAAAGGAGCTTGCAAAGAAGGACACAAAAATCAGATAGCTGCCTTTT